TCTCACCCTGTTGTGTCACATGCCACAGGCAGATAAGTATCCCCTCATGGGTACAAAATGAAATTTCAAGGAATTCTACTCCATAAAACAAAGAAATGGATCTTAGAAAAAGCACAGCAAGATAGACAACCGTTAGCTGCCATGGCAACTGTTGTCGACATGGTTCTCAGGGATTCCAACCTGACCCCTTGAGGAACTCGATATAAGCCATAGCCCCCAGGTTTTCTGCCACCACTGCCAGTCCTCATTTGGAGGCGGCGACTGTGAAGTCAAGTTACCTCAGGGCTCTAGTTGGGGCAAGAAGGCCAGTTATAAATGGAAATGATAGAAATTAGGTCTTTTTATTCTGAAAAAGGCGGCACTGTCTCAGGGAAAGACAGATGAACAGAATTTTAGTTAGAAATCTGTACTGAGCTGTGCAGGCAACCTTGCTAGTAGGCTCATCCCGTGTGAACACACAGCAGTGCCCATCACCCAGTAAGAGACCTCTGTGGCAACTGTCTCTGTCCAGGCCATGGGGCCAGGAAGTATGTCTAATTTCACTGGCTTGGAAACGGCTGAGGAAGGAGCAGTGTTGGCATTGGCATATTTCACAGCTGAATGTTTGATTTTTAGACTATTACATTTTAGACTTTTCATCTAGGGGTGATAAGGTTCTAGTATCCACAACGCCTTTCCTTACTGTTGAAAATAGCACCTTCAGAATATCCTTGCATTGTCCTGCCTGGGGGCTTACTCTCAGGCATCACCAGGACTCACTTTAATAAACTGCTGACACCCGTTTGTTTTCTTGTCATCTGTCTTCTTTATTACACAAAACATTATGTAGAATGGAGCAGTGGGGAAGATAGCTAACTAGGTAATGAAGGGTCGTTGTTTTGCTGAAATCCTGACTTTGAAGCTAAAATTAGCCTCCTTCAAAGCTGACTTCTTTATAACAAAACCACAATCTTTCTCTGGGTCACCTGAAATTGAAGGGGCACCCCTAACAGCCTTCACATTTCTGAGCTGTTTACGCCCACCCCCTCTACTGGCCTCCGGGAGAAGCAGCAGTGAGCCCTGTCAGATTTTACTATTTTTGCTACCAAAGACACAAAAGCCTGTGGCAACAGAACCAGTGGAGAGCCAAGCACCACAGGGGTGGGGGCAGGGATGTCCCGGGCAGCACTGGGGGGGAGGGAGCACAGTACCTGCACCATCACGGCAGACTCCACGTGGGCAAGTGCTCCTCTCACAGCTCACAGCGTTATGCTGCCACACTGAGGCAGCTCAGGCACCAGCTCTTCCATTTCCTCAGGTGCACAGAGGAGCGATACTGCCCTAACCACTCAGTCCCCTGCTCTGTAGCAGGTGAACTATAAAGAGATAACACGCATGAACTCACCCCAAGATCAGTCTCCTACTGCCACTCAGGGGAAAGAGTACAAATCATACCTCAAACAAAGGAGCTGAAACAGATGGCTGAGGACATTTCTTTCCAAAGTACAAATGTGATAAAATGCCAAGAAAAGCCCTTCCCTTCAGGAAGAAATGAAGGTGCAGAGAAAGAACAATGATCTGGGCAGCAGATGTCCCCCCCACACTAGAAGGTACCACATCACATTTTCTTTTCATCTGATCTTGCAAAAGCAAAGACAAGCTCACAAGCCCATAGTCATGCATGGCAATGAGCATACTGCCTCCCCCGCGTGTAGGTGCGCACATCCCCAGGGCATTCTCGCTGAGAGGGGTATTCTTGGACTCTCCTGGAGTTGAGACAAAAGCAAACCTTATCTCAGAACTCTGTTAGTATTAAAAGGAGTTTGTATTTGCATGTTTCTGAAATTGCTGTTATTATGGAGGACTTGGGTGGGACCTTGGGAAATCACCTCACTGGGTAAAATACTGAAACAAATACTGACACGATGGAAAAGGAGGAAACCCACAGGCTAGGGGTCGAGTGAATCTTGATGAATTCAAGCTGAAGAAAGCTATCCAACTATCTAGGCTGCCAGAAAGTTGAAAGTGCATCATTCCTTAGAAATCAAAAAAGTTAAATTGTAGGTTACAGGCCCAATATTATTTCAATAACTGAATGACTTTTTAAGGACATAAATAAAATCCATCTTCAAGAAAACATTTTAGAAGTAGATGCAGAGAGATGGAATTCAGAGATAAGAATTCACAGTGCCTTTGCAGCTGCGGCTTCTTCAAGTCTTCTGAAAGAAAGCAGACAGGTGTTGGGGCGGGGGGGG